TTTGTCTTCGTCTCCCGCGAGTACCCGTAGCACTGGCAGCACACTTGCTGTAGCCCGTGCGAATCGGCGTGGTTCGTGTCCAAGTTGAAGATGTCAACGGTGACGCTGCCGTCGTCGCTCTTGACCGACTCGACGTAGTAGTGGTCCTTCATCAGCCATCGGTCTTGGTTTGGGCTCTTGTACTGGGCCTGCAGGTCAAACTTGAGGTCCAAATACTTGAGCATCTCGGCTGTGTCTTTGCACTTGACAAAGTTGTAGTCCTTTTCGCCGCAGATAAACTCCGACCCGCCAATGTCGTGGTTCCCGGCTACGTTCACCCACTTGATACCCTGCAGCGCTGGCTGAGCATACTTCTTCTCGAACGTTTCTTCCATCCGGTACTTGATATCGCCAGGGCCTGCACCATCCCAGTAGATGTTGTCGCCGTGGCCGATCACTCGGGCCGGCTTCGGCTTGAGTTGGCCCGCCGACTGGGCGAGAATCGTGGACACGTACAACTGGGCCCAGTAGTCCACCTTGATGCGGGCCTTGGAAGGGTTGACCTTGTTAGCGTTCGCACCACTGCCACCATAAGTCTTGCAGCAAGAACCGGGGTCGCCAGCAGTGTCGAGGGAGCTGCCCGACTTCTTGCCGGTGGTACTACCCCAATCACCGATGGCAAGCATGGTGAGCGCAGGAACGCCTGCTTCAGGATCGGATGCAGGGGTCGGAGCAGGTGTTGTAGTCACACCAGGAGGGTTGGTCGTGCCAAGCAAGTCGCTGGCCGTGACATTCTGACTGGGAGGAACAGTGGTTGCAGTGGCTTTGTCCCCAGATGAGTTGGATGCATCCTTGCTACCCTTGCCGCTGGTAAGCACGACCGCAGCAGTGACGCCTCCAGCAACGACAAGGACTGCCGCCGCAATAAGCGCGATTCGCTTGCCCTGGCCATTTGACACCGGGGCTGCACCAGGAGCGGGGAGCATCGCCGTATCTCCAAAGCTGGAGTTGCGCTGAAACGCGTCCGAATCTACACGGCACATGTCATGAGGCACGGAGTTGGCGGCGCCTCGGTACCTCGTCCCGTCATGCTTTGTTGGTTCAGGTATGTATGCGACTTGGCGAATGAGATATTGTGTTTCCAGCTATTACTCGCCCTGCTATACAAATTCCAAGTGTCTTGTATCCGGACAACCTGATTATGTTGTCTTATCCGGATCCTAATTCTGAACGCTCGTCGTCATGTCGTTTACTGTATACAATATTGCAGCGATCGATTTTATTTGTCAAACCAAAATGAACTCCGAAATCCCACGTTGTGCAATTTTCACACTGCGTCCTTACATCGCCAGTGGATCTTTCCGCGCGCCCTCGTCGTATGTGTCGAAACAACATGATTCTCTTGCCGCGGTGAGCTGCCCCGACGTGCGTGTAGCGGTTCAAGGGTGTGGTTGACACTGGGAATGGCCGTTTTTCGAACTGGATGCATCTCCAGTTTGTGGGTTCGACAAGACAAATTCACGTGCAACAGGCCGTTGGCCAGTTTTACATACTTTCCCAACACAAGCGGCGGGAGAGGATGTGTTAGCGCGACGTGGGCGTCGATGTTTGAGGTAGTGGCCATGGTGAACGACGAGAGAGAGCTTTCCGACGGGAGGTACGACGTCGTTGTTGGAATGCAATCCATAAAATTGCATAGGTTTCAGTAATTGGTTGAAAACATTGCAATTCAATCTTTCCATTGGTGTAATCTTTATTTTATCAACCAATCCTTGTCCTTGATTTTTGTCCGATCGAGGCGGCGGTGGCGTGTGACGCCATGAATGCCCAGTTGGAAGGACAGCGCAAGGACGACGACGTGGACGCCGAGTATGAAGAGCTGATTCCACCAGAGAACTTTGCTATGGTCGAGAGAGGCCTGTACCGAAGTACGTCATCCTTGCTGGGACCCCTGTTCTGATGTTGTCTTGAGGCGGGTTCCCGAAGAAGAAGAACTTTCCGTTCCTCAAGACGTTGGGCCTCAAGTCCATCCTGTGCGCTCTGGCCGACTTGTCCAGTCGTGTTCATTCACACGTCTGTGTGTAGGACTTTAGTTCTGGAGGACTATCCGCTGTCCAACACAGAATTCAACAAACTCCACAACGTCACGCTGCTGCAATTCGGCGTGCCGGGAAACAAAGTACACTCTTCATCGATTCACGGCGAGCCATCCATCTCATCGAGGCATGTAGGAGCCGTTCGTGGACATTCCTGAGAAAGGCATTGCCGCCGCGCTCAGTGCCGTTCTTGGTGCGTCGTCCTGGAATGGCAAGTGCTTCACATGGTTCAAAACACCGTAGATCAACGGAATCATCCGATGCTAATCCACTGCAACAAAGGAAAGGTAAGGTTCCACGTGCCACTCATTATCAAATTCCCGAGCTCGTTTCGACGCTTGTTCGTGTGTAGCATCGCACGGGATGCCTCGTCGGGTGTTTGCGCAAGGTCCAGCGATGGGCGTTCAGCTCCATCTTTGACGAATACATTCGATTCTCACACCCGAAACCACGCATGATGGATCAACAGGTTTGTCTTTCGGCACCCATCATCTCGGCATATCACGTCCTGGTGCGTAGTTTATCGAACTCTTTAAGACCGAGCTCGTCAAGGAATCCGCCGACAGTCGACCTGCATGGCCAGGATTATAAATGCCATCGCAATCCAAGCAAAAAAACACGCGTTCACATATCGGAGGTCGGCTACATTTGCGTTTGCAGGTCGGTGGCCGGTCGCGTGGTTCCTTTGGCTGGTCGTTGAGGCTGCTGTCGCTTCGAGGACTTGCGCTTCTTCAACCAGAGGCCTCCGCCCACCACGAGAAGGGCCATGGCCACGATGACACCGACCACGATGCCGATCGCCGCGCCCGAGATGGACGATCCGTCGTCTACCGCCGCCGTCCCATTGCCCACAGCGTACTTGCCGATCTTGGGCAACCCTGCCTTGGCGACAAAGTAGCCGTTGTCGAACATCATGCTGAATCCTTTTTCAAAAAACTGGCCGGCGGCTGGCCCTGGCATCGCGTCGGCACTCACACCGACATTGCACTCTCCGTCCGACTGGCCGGGAGTCTTGAGCCACAAAAAGTAATCGACGACGTCGGTCCCAGTTTGGTCGGTGGGGGGCACCCTACATCATCCACGTCAGCTTCAACGGAACCGATCGATGTCGCGAGCGACACTGGCCATCACGACGACCGAATCGCTTCGAGACATCGTACCCAATGCCGGCCGTGTTTGCATTGCACCACTCGCCGGTGGGCGACGCGCCGTGAAAGTTCCGAGATGTGTCGAAGACGCACTTGAAGTTCATGCCTAGACACGATCGCGCACACATGACCCAGTTTGTGCTGATGGCGCATGTACCGGGAGTCGCATCGACGAATGCCTTGCACCACGTGAGCAGCTCGTCGTTGGATCGGTAATTGGACGTGTTGAGGACGATCCCGCGGACAGGTCCGGCCTGCGCAAGCGCCTTCATGAGCGCGACCAGCGACTCGACTCGCGCGGGTTCTTTGAACAGCCACCATCCCACATCCACGTACAACTTGGCGGCGGGATTGTTCTTGGTTAACACTGTCACGGCGGCGGCCATGTTGGGCAAGTAGTTGTTGTCCCAGCCGCACGCGGTCGGGCTCTCAGCAAGCAGTCCCATCGCGTCGGGCTCGAGCACGTACAGCACGTCCTGTTTCCCGACCAGTGACGCTAATTTCGACACGAACGCGATGTAGTCGGCCGCGTTCCGGTTGACCCCGTCCCCAGAGAAGCTCCCGTGGCAGTCTTTGTTGGGAAGGCCGTACACGACAAAGGTGGGGAGGGTGTCGAGGCGGCCGTTCCGCGGAGCACATGCCGCCAACGTCGCGGTGGCCTCAGCCAGGTACTGACTCCGGTCTGTGTACCACGTCGCAACAGGTTTGGCTTCCACAGCTTCGAGCGCGTACTCCAGGGATGGGTAATCCCTCTTGGCCTGAGCAAAGTTGACAGGGGCGATGCCAGGACAGAGCTTCTTCGCCATATCAAGATCGTTGTCGCTGTAAATTGCAATCGAACAAACTCGATGTTGACACGTTAACGTTCTGAAAGGATCTTCGACGGTGGTTTCGTCGACGAACTAGTCATTCTTCGGCGATGGCGGCCATATCCACCGACGGACGTTCTCCTTGACCTCGCTCCAGCTTCGCTTCATCTCAACAACGTCCGCTTCGCGGCCCTGCACGTACGCCTCGTCGCGAGCCACTCTGTCGAGCACGTGTTGGAGGGTCGCCACCTCTTGGGCCGACCCAGCGTCGGCCAACTTTGCCTGTGCGATGGCGCGAAGGGGCAAGAGATTCGTTTCCCAATCCAAACGTTCTTCTTTCGCAGTGGCGTCCGTGTGAGAGATGCACAGCTCAATCGTCGCGACCGTGCCGCCGACGGACACGGCAAGGAGGCCCGCGCCGGTTGCCAGCCGCTTCCCGAGATTCTGCATGAATTGAACCATATTTCGATCAAAATCCCACCAATCACTTCACTCGTGTGCGAAATTCAGCACAAAAGTCCATGGCGCCAGTTCCGCCGTCGGCGGACGAACTCGTCGTGGATGCATCGTTGCGCCAGCTCATTCCCGCAGTTGGTACAGTCGGATCGCGCAGAAGATCACGGGCATTCGATCATGCATCGTATGAGCTTGGACCCTGGGGCGTGCAATAGATTCATCATCGTTATTCTGTCTCGAAGTGCTCACACTTTGACGAGGGCGACATGTGGGCTTCCGCCATCTTCCGTCGCTTCATCGTCGTGGTCGTCTTCGCATTCCTTGACGACGACGTCGTCGTCGTTCCCACCGGTCTCCCCATGCTGTGTCAACGCCGCGTCTGCGATAGCTACGTGGATGGCGGGCAAGTTCTGGAGCAGCAACGCGCATTGAGCGCTGTCGAGCTTCTTTCGCTTGGGGACTTGAGTCGGCCAGTTCACGAGTTCGAACTTTCGTTTTTCCGTGCCGTGCCGCGCCTTCACGCCGATCGTTCCCGACACGAGCGCGTGCCATGGCATTTGCTTTCGAGTGGGCTGTCCCATGCGTCGCAATTCGTCGTTCAATGCACCCAGCACATGCGTCCACACCTTCTCCTGCTGCTTGAGCGGGTTCGGGGGAGGGGGGTACAGCGCCGGAAACTGCCGGCGAATGACGGCAATGTCGGGGAGGAGCGTTTCCAGGTTCACGTCGTGGATGTTGCGGACATGTTCGGTCGCATGGACAGCGATCGCTCCTGTCGCGCAGACGCGTGCAGTAGTGAGTACTGGTGGATGCACGAGAAGATCATTACCCCGTGTTTCATAAGTTCCAGCGTGCGTGTCCGGGTCGAACGAGGCATAGATCGACGGGCAGCCCAGCTCCTCTACGACGAATGGTCAGCATGAACAAGTAAGGAGAGCGTACCCAATGCATCCAACGTTCGCTTCAATGTGGCTCGCAATTGCTTCCTCCATATAATTCGATCACGGCCTGTCATGTCTTCGGGTGGCGGCATGACCCCCGTTTTGGAAGGAGTGGCTGCGCCATCATCGTCCTCGACGTTCAAAGCATCAGCATTTGGTTCACCTATCGGTTCCTTAGTTACATGGACTGCCACGTCCGTGTTAGCTGAAGGTGACAACGTGAGGCGGCGACGAGCCGCCGCCTCTACATCAGGATCGCATGTCCCATCATGTGCACCTGTGTCCGACGTAACATGGGTTCCCTTGGGCTTAGCATCGCGAGTCGTTGCTGAGGGGGAGGCAACTGCTGCAGTGGACGACGCCGTCGCGACATGCTGGGACTTGGTCGAGTCGGCAGCCGCCGACTTTGGCGACGAAGATTGGATAGCGCGCGAAGGGAGGTCGTTCTTCTTCAGCGTCTGAGTGAAATTACGGATCCAGTTCTACCTCAATGCATCAGTACGCATCGCAAGTTCACGTTTCCTCACCGTGACACGACTCTCCGGACAATTCAATCGCAATGCGATCTCTTGCCGTCGTTCGACGTCCGCCTTGAGCCCCGTCAGTTTCTCTTCCAACACACGCTTCCTTAAGTACTCCACAGCCTTCTTGCTAAAGTGCACGGTGGACGATTCATCGACCAAGATGCCGTCTGTCGCGCCCGCGGGCGACGACGGCTCGTGCTTGGAGGGTGGGGCCATGCTCAAAATCGTCGACCTTCCAGTTGGCAATCATCGTGTGATTGGCCGAAATTCAAAATTCCCTCCAATCAAAACGATCAAATTTGTGTAACGTTTCATTATTAGATTTGACAAGGTAGCCACAGGATTCGATGGAGCATGTACCTCTAAAACTCTATATGCCGTCTCCTTGGCCTCGGAGTCGGGCTCGGTCCATAGCGCCGATGCGCACAGCGATACAGTGTGCAGCACGCCGCGGATCGAGACAGCCCATGTCACGACCGCACAGTACACTTCGACGGATGCATTGGAACGACCCACCCGTTTTGCCACGATCGCATGAACTACAAACCTGTGTGCCCGTGAATGCACAATCTCAGTGTCGTCGCTCTTTACCACAAGGTCATCACAAGATGGCGGTAGGTAACGCCGCTTGACACTCCTCTTGGTTGGAACGATGTCGATGCCGCTTCGAAATGGAACCGAGCGAGCACCGGACAGAGTTTGGCCGTGATGTTGACAAGCCACAACGGCCATCGTAGTCGTGTGCTCGTCGTCGTTGCCTCGGCCTCGCCAGTCCAGCGTGGTGCGCCACTGCGTCGTCGCATGACTGGACTGCTATCTTTTCCCACCTCCAACAACTTCCATCCTCTGGATCGCGCTAGGGCGAAAGGCCACTTGAATGCTGTCGAGTCGACAGCGTCCGGCGCTGACGCCACCTGCGACGTAAGACGCAAAAACATGAGATCCTCCTCTGTCACATTTTTTCCGACGCAGTGTTTCCACCAATCAAAAGCGCTTCTTCAAGTGGAAGAACCAATCAAATCGCAGATGCACCCACTTACCACTCTCAGCCGACACACGCCATGTGTGCGTTCACTTCCTCACTTGCACCCTCGTGGCACGATGGCCAACAAGACATCGGCGGCTTCAGGACTTAGGCTCGATGCGGCTGTGGGCAGGAACCTTGCGATCGATGTCGTCGCTGCTGGCGCCGCCTCCTTCTTCGTCGCCCCGTTTATCACGACGGTGGACCGAGCGATCATTGAGAACGCCAGCGGGAAGCGCGTCCTCTCGACGGCATTACAGGAGATCTCGCTGGATTTCTTGCGCAACCCGCTCTCGTTCATTCGACGAAAGGAGTTCCTGTTAATCTATGGGCTGTACACGGCCACGTACTTGAGTGCGAACGCCATCGACACGGTGTGCGAAGCCACCGAACACGACAACAAGCTGCCCAAGTTTGTCGGCACGACCGCGGTCAACATGGGGCTATGCATTGCCAAGGATCGAGAATTCGCCCGCATGTTTGGCGTGATCGCGCCGGCCAAGTTTCCCCTGGTTTCTGTGGCTCTGTTTGCAGTCCGCGACTCGATGACGGTCGGCGCGTCGTTCGTTGCGCCGCCTGTCATCGCTTCCTTCATTGAATCGAACGGATTCGCGAACAAGTCGAATTCCAACTCGTTGGCGCAAATGCTGTGTCCTGCCATCGTACGGCTTCCATCGCAACTTGGGTGCTCACTCGTTGCTGTGGCTAGGTCCAATTGGTCTCGACACCGCTCCACCTTCTTAGCCTCGATCTGTACAATCGAAATGTTGCGACAACTCAAAGCCGGGTCGCGTTCGTATCTCGCGAGTACCTGAAATCGACCGCCGCGCGGATCGGGCGCATTGCACCGGCGTTTGGTTTTGGCGGCATCGGCAACAAATACTTTAGGGAAAACTTGAGGGCGTTGTGGGCAGCATAGAGCCCGGCGGTAGAAGCATGCCAGAGCATAATCTAGAGATATTTGCGCATTCCGTGTCCACGAACGCGATGCAGCCAGCTGTCGTGTAGGGGGCGACCACCAGATCGGCGATCGAACAAGGCGCGCCATTGCTTCAGCATGACGTGTCCTGACACAACGGCCATCGTGGCAACAAAGCCATCCGTTCGCCCGAGTCTGAGGTGTTGTCGAACGTTGTTTCGCCACGTGTGGCTTGGCGCCAGCGTCGTGCGTGCACAACCCCCGTCGGCGTACGAGATGAACCACCACTGAAGCGCTGCTGCGCCTCCGTGAAGAGTTTCAGCATGGAATGTCCTTCGACCTCGTGTCGGTTCAGGCATTTTTCTGCAAGATATCCGCGCTTGCATTTCATTCCCACGTGAACAAGGATGGTCGAGCATCTCCATCTTGCATCGGCCTCAGCTGTGTTGGTCAAGGCCGCGCCGATCCTCGCACCGCCTTCGCCATCCTGCTCCCCATCCCTTCGTCTCCGATGACGCCGGCATTCTTGTTTGTCGACGTAACATTCACGTTCTGAAGTCAGACGATGACGGCCGTGGCAGAGCGGCGTCATCGCGCGGGTGAGAACTTGCGACTTGAAGATATATCTCATTTTTTGTATAAATTTTTGACTTTTGCACGGTGTCGCATCCACGTGGTGACAATATTCGTGCATGGCCGACGATGCAGTAGACAGTTTAGTAGATACTAACTCAACCCAGCGTATGTCACACGGCGACGACTGACCGTTGTGCCCATTTATTGGCTAAAATGGTTCGAAAAGGACATGATCAGCCAATCAAAATGTGACAAGCCTACCGCGGCGTTTGACCGAAAATGGAGAAAAACCTATATTTAGACAAGATACGGTGAAACGTTTTCCGGTCAACTTGGGGGCCTGAAGTGCATTCCTCAACATCCTCATCATGCCGCCGACAAAGGAGTCCCCCGTGATCGCGACAAGCGGGATCGTCGAAGCGGCACCGACCGCTGCCATCAGCGGGGATTTTACCGTGGCGAAGAAGCTCGCGATCGACCTGATTGCAGCGTCCACCGCGTCGCTGTTTGTGTCGCCCATCATCACCACCATCGACAGAGCCATCATGGAAAATGCCAGTGGGAAACGCGTGTTAGCACAGGGACTTCGAGAGATCTCCCTCGACTTTGTGCGTAACCCCATCTCGTTCATCAAGCGAAAGGACTTTCTCCTCATTTACAGCCTCTACATCGCCACGTATGGTACCGCCAACGTCATCGATACGGTTAGCGAGTATGCTCAGACCGACGGCCGCGCCGCCAAGTTTGTGGGCACGACAGCCGTCAACGTGACGTTGTGTGTCGCGAAGGACAGAGAGTTCGCCCGCATGTTTGGGGTCATCGCCCCCACCAAGTTTCCCATCGTGTCCCTCGGTCTGTTTGCCGCTCGCGATGCCTTGTCAGTTGGCGCCACGTTCATCGCGCCGCCCATCATCTCGAAGTACTTTGAAAAGGCTGGTATGGACAAGACTGCCGCGAGCTCCACAGCGCTCCTCATGTGCCCATCGTTGGTACGAGTCCTTCATTCCGTTCGCAGTATCATGTCTTGTGCAGGTCCAATTCGTGTCGACGCCGCTGCACCTTTTGAGTTTGGACATCTACAACCACCGTGAATCGACTTTCAAGAATCGGGCAGCGTTCGTCTCGCGGGAATATATCCGCTCGGCCACTGCCCGCATCAGCCGCACGATCCCTGCCTTTGGCTTGGGAGGTATTGGCAACAAACACTTGCGCGAAAACTTGACTGCAAAGTTGCTATGAGTTCACCGCTCGCCCCCCGACTTCTCACTATTTCCTTGCCTAATCAAAAGTGTGTCCACACCAACAGTGTACTGAAACACACCGTGGGAGCGTCAAGATGTGGCCGAAAATAAGCCCCGTCCACGTCATCCTTGCCAACGCTGGCACGCCATCTCGGCTATCCTGCGCCATGTTGTGCGATTTTGTGCCTCAGCATGTACTAGTTGCCACAATCATCTACACCAAACGAAGAGATCCACAACCGTCAGCATGCAACCCAAACAAACACAGCACGGCTCGGTAGTTTTCTCACGAGAACGGCATCATGGCCGCGACATGCACTTGCGCTCCACAAGCGCTCGTCGCGTGGTCGTACAGCGGGAATAAAACCTACGTTTTTCTTAAAACCCACGACGTCGCGTCAAACTCGCAAGTCCACTGTGCCCCGTCGCGGCTTTTATACTGTCCGTCCTACCGTAGGTCGAGGAAACATTCAGGCGACGACGGCAGCCACGGGATGGCGGCGTGTGCGCATGGATCTTGGTCCGTGCAAGTGTGGAGTCGAGGAGCTTCGGCAAGCGGCGGGCTCCTGCTGTTCTCCATCTGCATGGGGGGGCCTTTTGTACCACGTCGGCAACGGACGGGCATGTCGTCACCGTGCCAGCTGTGTGGCCGAATCACATGATCCAGGCGCCATGTCACGAGCACCAATGAAATCCTGGAACTTGCTCGTGCCTCACTTTCGAATCTCCATCGAGCCCCCCATGTCCGACGTCGCCGGTCCCTCCACGACCGTCTCGACGATTGTCGAGTCGGACGTAGTCCACGATGCCGCCGCGCACTGGACGTCCGCGCTCGACCTGTCCGTGGGCAAAAAGATCGCGATCGACGTCGTGGCGGCCGCCGCCGCGTCCTTCCTCGTGTCTCCCACTATTACAGCCATTGACCGCGCCATCATTGAAAACGCCAGCGGCAAACGCGTGCTCATGCAAGGCATCAAGGACATCTCGATGGAGTTTGTGCGCAACCCGGTCGCGTTCGTCCGGCGAAAGGACTTTCTTCTCATCTACGGATTGTACGTTGCCACGTACGCGACCGCGAACGCCACGGACACCGTCTGTGAGCTCATGGACACAGACAACAAGATGCCCAAGTTGATTGGGACTACCGCCGTCAACGTGTCCCTGTGCGTGGCCAAGGACCGTGAGTATGCCCGAATGTTTGGCCTCATCGCACCCACCAAGTTCCCCATCACGTCTCTCGGACTCTTTGCGATGCGTGACGCCCTGTCCGTTGGCGCGACCTTCGTCGCGCCCCCCCTCGTGTCGCATCTGTTCGAGAACCAGCTTGGCGCGTCGCCGTCCGCATCGCACTCTGCGGCGCTGCTCTTGTGCCCGTCGCTGGCTCAGCTCGTGTCGACCCCGCTGCACCTGCTCAGTCTGGATCTGTACAATCACAAAGTCGCGACTCCTCAAGCCCGCCTCGCGTTCATCTCGAAGGAGTACATCAAAAGCGCCGCCGCGCGCATCAGCCGGACGCTACCAGCTTTCGGAGTCGGTGGCATCGGGAACAAGCATATGCGCGAGCGCATGCGGGCCACGTGGTTGTAGATGCGACGGATGCGTGTATCAAGTACGTGCACCCTTCAACTCGTCGAGATTCTAGCTAGGTTCATTTATACAATCATTAACATATCATATCTATTTTGAAGTACGTTATTGCGGTTGTAGTATCTACTATAAAGTACTACTACTAGTACGTTACAGTGGACCCCGGAAAAAGCCGCCAGAGTTTCATCCTGAAAATGCATGGAGGAAGAATAAAATCCATATATTAAAATTACGTGAATTCGTCCAACTTGATTGGCTATAACTAGTAGAATTTCAGTCAGTCAAAATCACAGTTCTTTTGTTTCTGCACTGCAATTGGTCAAAAGGAATAGCATTTCTGACTTGGTATTGAAGTATATCAGGTGGCAGAATCTTTTTAAACAGATCATGTTTTGGAGGTGGTCGGCTTTTTCCGGGGTTCACTGTAGTTTTATTCTTGCGCTTAAAAGCAAGTTCACTCAAAACTAGTGTAGTTATATCCCTTGAGCAGGCGGATCGTGACCAGGAGAGGAATGTTGCGGCATGCCGGAGGCGCTCACGGCACCGGCTTGGCCAGGTGAGCCTCGTAATGAACAGTCGATGGCGCAACGCCAAACGCAGGCGGCAGCGGGACGTGGGGAAAGTGGCTGGTCATGATGACCTTGATCAAAGCGTGGTGGTGGATCGCGTGATGGACGGCGAACGCCATTTCTCTTTCAATAGTTGATCGCAGCGCCACTTCGTCTCCTTCGGCCGACAGCCGAAACGCAGCTTGCACCTCCTTCGACAGGGACGTTGTGTCGGCAACGCGCGACGCGAACGTTTGAATCGCATCCATTTCAACTAGCGCCGCCTCGCGATTCGTCTCAATTTGCGTCAATCGATCTCGTATGTCATAATGAATGACTCCGTCTTGGGGTACGTCGACGGAGCGACGAAGGTGATCCAGCGCATGACGAATGTGACCGCCCGTCGTTCCGTGGAGCGTCGGGCATCGAAAGATGTACTCGTCATCCGACATGCGCTCCAAAAGATTGATTTGCTGGTGGATGATCGCATGGAAAGCATCGTAGACAGGAAGGGGTGGCGCAGCGGCACGCGTGGCCAAGTGCCGGCGCATCTTACCCCATCCTCGCATGTTGAGATTTTGAACCAAGTCCGGATATGCTGAAGTCATCCGGATACTCTGGATTTGCCGACGTCATCCGGATATATGATGTGTCGCGAGCGATGAAGATGGGCTGATTGTTCCCACGGAGTGAACTGGCTGACTAGAAGTCGCCGTGGAGTCGAGAGGAGCATGAAGGGAGCATGCACAGGGGCATCATGCATGCACCCTTTGTGGGCTTTTGGATGCACACATGGGCTCAGTCAAGCTGAGGTATTGTGCCGGCCCGCCAGTAGTAGGACAACCCGACGTTAGGCCGACAGGAAGCTAGCGATAGCTGCACCCTGGGTACCAAGCGGCGCATGGTCGTGCATCGTTAGGATGGGAATCGATCTTGTGTTGAAGGAATGATCGCAAACAGGACATCTCGCAGGCTCCTTCGCAATAGAGTAACTGTGACAAAATCGAACATCACCTACACCCCGTCCACTTGGTGGCACACAACCCGCGATGCCGAGCAGCGCCGGCAGGACGGATTCGAGTGCTGCATCTTCCTATCTTCCTACGAAAGATGGCCGCGTCATCGACTCCCTGCCAACTCCTTGGTCACCACAGCCAGCCATCATGTTTCACTCGATAACAGCCTCGGTTGCTCCCTCCAACCAAACGATCGCAGTGGACTGGTCATACAACGTAGTCAACTCCTCCACTCCAAACACGTCGATCGCGGCCCCGTGCTGGATACCGTTCCAAGTTCACGTGACTCCAGCACATGAGCCCACCACTCTCGACGCCGCCGAGTCCATCACGACTGTGCTGGGCCTGTGGAGTCCAACGAATGGCGTGCAAAGAGGGCACTGGGATGCCTCGCTGTTTCCAAACCAAACGTACACGTTTCAAGTGTTCTCGTGGCCACACAACGGCACGACCAGCCAGATTGAAGCAAGATGGCCCGACCACACAATCTGCAAATGGCTCACGAACGCGTCGTCGAAGTCGTCCCTGTCAAATCCTCTCGTCTGGTCACGCGAAGCCCGCCGATCAAAGTCGGACGACGACGCAATGGACAACTCCATCGTGCTATTCCTCGGTGCCTGCGGTGTGATCTCCGTGATCTTTGTGCTTCGGTTAATTGTGTTGATGGTGGTGATGCGCCACAGCAAGATGGACCTGTTTGCGTCGCTTTCAAACGGCAACAGCCACACGCGGCCGAGTATTTCACCGCAGCGGTCTCCCCGCCGGCAGTCCAGCAGGTGGACAAGGTCCAAGTCGCAGTCCAAGCGCGGGATGAAGCTCGTGACAAGTGCCGCCGCGCTGTCGGACGGCCCGCCATCGCCTCACCTCGCCATGCAAATCAAACTTTACAACGGAGAGTACCACCCAGAAGTCGAGCCCGTGGTACGAAACGAACCGCTCGATCTCTGTTGTCCACCGCGTTCAGGAGGTTGTTGGGGTGTGGTTGGCGATGCATCGTATCGCGCCTGCACAGTTGTTCATTGTGTCCGCGGTAGGTCAAAGCAATCGTTGCGGTCGAAAAGCAGTCCCAACTCGAGCTCAAGAACAAATTGAGGACCGAATTGCGCGATGCCGACGTGCACGGCCACGACTTGTCCGAGGCCGAGCGCCAGCACACCAAGCACCACAAGTTTGTACGAGACCAGTCTAGTTGGTCGTGACGGAATCGATGCTCATGGAGAGTTTGCTGTGTAGGTGATCGACCTGCACGATGGCGTCGAGATGCAGCTCTTGCACATGTGGAAACCATCGACCAAGCCGACGCTCGTCTACGCCAACGATCTCCTCACAACGATTCGGTGGCAAGTGGCACGCAAACCCACCGACCGTGAATTCGCAAGCGGCGGCCCACACACATTGCATTTCGTCGACGTCCACGCCATCACGGCGTGGACGAACGCGCTGCCGCCGCCGTTTGCGGCTAAGCACCAGTGCCTGATCGACGACGCAAGCCACAAGAACCCCAGCATCTCAAACGAACCCAAGGCCAGTGGCTTCTTCGCTGTCATGGTGGAGTACACCCACGCAAAAAAGCGAGGAAAAACCAAGCAAGTCATGATTCGAGCCCAAGACGAGAACGACCAGATATTCCTCGTGCAAACGCTGACAAAACTGGTCGCCTCTGCCAAGAAGCGTCGTGACCCCACGAAGCCATCGACGATGCCTGTGCAGGCTGCAATGCCAGGCCCGTCGACCGCGCCAAATCTAGCTGCGGTGGCAGCACCACCACCAGCGCAGGTCGCAGTCGCCGTGCCATTGGTACCATCGATCGATCCGGCTGAAGAACGAAATCGCATGGAATGAGCAGCGGTCGCAGGGAGCCGTGCAGCGCCATCAGCGACTACAATCTGCAGCGCTGCACGCAGTACTAAGACGTAACACGGTGGGCACCTGCTAGAACCCAGGCGAAAAATACCCCTTCGCACTCGTGAGTTCGTACAACGTGCCTGGCATTTCATCTCTAATTTTACCCAGCGACATGAAAGCTGTTGGTATTTGGTGGTGGGGACGTTTGGCATCGCGAGACTGTAGCGAGGCATGGCACAAGATGATGCCGCCGTGACACCGTCGAGTGCTCCACGGCGACAGCCTCTCGTTCGCAGCAACACCGCGCCAACCAACGCCAAGTTGCCGAAGCGTCTGACAAAGAGAGCGTCCAACTACCTCGAGCGCGCCAGCGATCCCGCTGCCTCCGCGCACGTTGTTATCCAGGCGAAAATCATCCGCGGCGGCTATCGCCAACATGTCGAGCGCATGGTACGCTTGGCTTTGGATCTCCCACGTCTGCGGGACCTTTCAACGTTCTGTCTTCCATCAGGCGAAAGCAGTCATCGTGATGGAGAGGCAAAAACACATTGCGAGTAAAGGCGCAGTGCGCTGCGAGATGTGGCGGTCGGATGTGACGTGCGCCGCGTGGCAGGTCGACGACCGGCGCTGCGCTCTCCACCACACGTTTGTACGAGGCTTCGGCCAGCCTCTGGGACGAATTGCTCACGGCGGGCGCGTTGTAGATATTACGTCTCATCGACGGCATCAAACTGCACCTCCTCCACATGCGAAAACCGTACAAGGCACCCACCATTGTGTACAGCAACGCGGCTCTCTCGACCCTTCAGTGGCAAGTCCCTCGGAAGCCCACTGAAAAGCAATTCGCAAATGGGGGGCGGCACACGATGCACTTAGTCGATGTCATGGCCATCGTCCCGTGGTCGAATGCGCTGCCCCCGGAGTTTGTATCCATGCACCACAACGTGCTCGAGAAGCAAGAGGATGCCGCCGCAGACGGCGCATGCGCTCGTGTACCGCAACCTCCCTCGGACAAAGCATGCGCCGCCTTCCACGCAGTCCTCGTGACGTACATGCATGCAAAGAAAAGAACGAAACAAAAGCACCTCCTCATTCAAATCCACGACGCTGACCAACAGAGCCAAATGGTCAACTCGTTGACGAAGCTCGTGGCGGCCGCCAAAAAACGTCGCGCGCCGCCACATGACGGCACACTGGACGTCGAGTATGCCGAGTCGAATCCACTGACGACACCAACTACATCGGATGGCGCACGTGGAAACGACCCATGGCATATCCGCACGACGATTCCTCCCGATCACACAACTCCAATCGTAGCCAATGATGCACATGTTCACGCCACTGCTACACCTCGTCGTGCTCGCAGCGCAGCGGCCGCAGCTCCGGACGCCGATCAAGGCTGCCAAGGGATCGTATCCAGCGCTGAAGGGCCACCTGTTCATGGACATGCAAGTGGTGGCGCCAGCGGCACTCTGCCAGACGTTTGGTTGAACAAAGTTCCAGAGGCCACATCAAATAACGAGATCGCGAGCCACGACGACATACCGTCCAACGAAGAAAGGGCCCTACCCATGGATCATGCCGCATCTCGCGTCCATGGCGCTCCTGGCCGCTCATCTCCTACTGCTCTTCAACCGCCGACGAATCCAGACCAGTTCAACCTGTGCCTTCCCGCCAATGACTCCGACGATCCGTCGCAGCAGGGGCCTGCAGCCAGTGCCGCTCCATGGATCGCCCTGGCGGCATGTTCAGCGCAGCCAGCGTGCGACATGGGAGATCCAACTAACCAAGTGATCGCTGCAAGCACCGGCGCAGCGCAAGTGCCTGCAAGCGGCGCCGCGGATAGCGACACCGACGGTAGCATCTCCCATGCCCCGAGCAGAGGTGGCCACAAAGTCGACCATGACGATGTGGCTGTGCCGGTGGATGAACTTGCTGGCCATGCCAACACCCCCACACAGACCGTCGCGGTAGAGTACGACTTGTAGCATCCATATCCAAATTCACACCACGAATCTTTCACGCGCAGTTGAGAGAGCAGGCCGCCCAGCTGGGTCCACAGGACGTCCCGCTCGTGTCCGCTGCACCAACACTGCCGCAACCAATCTTAGCTTGAGGTTTCCTGTAACAACATCGCTAGAAGGGTAGCGTCGACCAAGTGGCGCACACGTGGCATGGGTCTTGCAAGGGAAGGATCGCTCACACAGGATCGATGCGGTTGGCTTGGTCCATTTGCACAACATTTCTCACGCAATGCCATTGATCTATGTCTGCTAAGCGAATCTCGAAGCCACGGACTCTCTGCGCCTCCATTTGAACAGTCGGCGGCACGTATCGAGGTCCTCCACGTGCTGTCCTGGTTGCAGCAGCTCCTTCCTCGCGTGTGCAAGCTGTCCCCATCGTTCGCGGCCATGCAACGATACCACAACCAAACATCATGTGGCTGCCTTGAGTTGCCTTCGCGCAACCAATGTGCTCCAGCGTGCGTGGTCCTTGGAGGGAGCTCTGCGCGGTAGTGCGACATGGACATGCCATCCAGAAGTCCTTGCACGCTGGCACGTTTCCCAACACAATTCGACCAGGACCCTCTTCGACCCATTCCGAGTCTGACTACGACGAGAAATGCACCATGGCATTACATTGCCGTTCCGTTCCGTCTCAAGGAGGTAAGGCTCGACTTGGCATACGTAGCCAAGCGGTGGCCCATCGTTTCGATGGTTCGGCGGACTCGTTCTGTCGCCGACGCTGTCTTGGTGCGTGGCACGTCCTTGGTCTCATGTGGGGCATCAGCTTCTTCTCGTCTCGGGCCCGACAACACGCTACCAGGTCCAACGACCCCACGCATGAGAGCTGCATGGACGAGCGATCGAACGGCTGCAACCAACTGCGCTTGCTCGCCCTCGCCATGACAGAGCAGGATCACGTGGCGAGCGTCGGCGTTGTTGTATGCGACACTGACACCATGATAGACTCCGTGGTGCCCCATGCGCAGCTCGGCCTTGGTCGGCATCCTTGACGAGTGCATTCGCTTCCAAGGGACGATGGAAACGACCGAGTCCAGCACCATCGTGTCGTCGTCCGAAGCCGTGTCGGAGGCGGTACGAGTCCACGACAGAGCTGTCTCTTCGACGTCCATGCGCACGCGCATGCGTTCGTAGCCCGTGTGGCTGTGCGGCATCATCGTGATCCGCACATGGCCTTCTCGCAGCCGCCGGACCTACAACAACCGCTTGGTCATGGATGCGTCGGTGCTGGCTCGTGAATCCGTACAAACGACCGATGGCCCAGCTCGTCCTTTTCCTTGAATGTCATGCCTCGACAGTCTGGTAAGGTCGAGTGCATCGGCACGGACCGCGGCGGGAACTGGCCCCTCTTGCCGACAGAGCGGTCTCGAACCGCCGCTTCCTGCTCGTATCCACATCTGAGGACTTGCCATGTCATGACCACGTACGTCAAGCTTGGTTGGCAGTGGCTCGTGGCGCATTGCAGGGCACACGCTCCTCTCGGAAGGATCGAACGACGACAACGTCATGGAGGGCTCGTGGGTGCTCGTGGAATGAGTTGCGAATTCACTGACGCCATGGAGTAAGTTGAAACACCCATGGCCTATAATTACAATCCGGCATGGCTGCACGCCCGTGCCATGTGAGTGACCACAAGGAGTGTGGCCAAGAACCCGTGCTCCCGTCGCTGCGCCTTCTTCATGCAACCCTCGACGTGCCCGACCACTGCGACTTCTTGTGCGATCATGATGTCGATGCCAGCCTGACAAGCCCATCACGAAAACCCTGATCGTGATGTCATGTGACGGCGCTCGAAATCTTGTATCACACGAAACGGTTCAAGTCACAACGCGATGTGCATGGCATGCTCCATGGACCACCTCCTCCTGATCCACGAAGGCGCTCAAGCCCGATGGATCGTTTTGTGCGGACCTGTCGACGTCTCGCTGTTCGAGCAACGTTCCCAACATTCATCCGTCCCCCCCGCTGGAGCCAACGACTCGAATTCGAATCCGTGTACCAGCCACGAACGTCCCGCCGTCGAAAACGAACACTCTTGACGGGTCGCAAGTCCCCAACCTCGGCAAGAAGGTCGGGGAAGGGGCGTGCTCTTTTGGTGTGTGAAGGAAGGGACCAGAGAGCCAACAAGGGCGACATCCTTCCACGACGAAATACAGCTTGACGAGTTGGACGTGATGCCTATTCGGTAGAAGGAGCGGCCCCCGTTTCATCGGGGTAGCTGGCTCCTGCCCGAAGGTTAGAATGCATCGCGATTGCTTTGTTCGTGCAGTCCCAAGTTGAGCGACTGGCACCATAGTAGGCACCACACCGGGGGGAGGCTGCTATATTCATTCTATGCCAACGCCGGTGCGTCCACGAGGGTGGCGGCGGCGGCAGTAGGTTATGATAGGGGCGCGATGCCATGGCGCCCCTGGACCACACAGTCCTCGGATCTCCAACGCGCCATGGCTGCATAGATGGACAGACCACGACATTGGATGCACCACTTCGACTCTCACATGTTTGGATACGAGGATATCTACTTAGACGACGTGCGATACTTGGCCTTGATGCCGTTGTAACTGGATCCAGGTAGAGCCGACATCGTGTGGCCCAATTCGCCGACCCTTCGTCGTGCCTTTAGCCCCGACGCGGCACTGATTGTGCGCGACGGCTTCTTGGGACGGAGACGCGTGGGTTTCGAGTCTTGTGGGGGGGGGCTGGACGCTTCCGACTCGAGACCAGCACCCACTCTGGCAGTGTGGACGAGGGACCGAAGGCTCGCAACAAACCGATGCTGCTCGGTTTCGTTGTGACAGAGCAGCATGAGCTGGCTTGGCGTGTCCCGGTCGTTGTAGGCGACGCTGATGCCATAGAACACGCCGTGGTTACCCATCACGAGCTCGGCCTTGCTCGGCCTCTTCGACGGCGTCTTGTGTGTCCATGGGACTACCGACAGGACGGTCTCCAACAACATCGATGCCGGCTTGGCTTGGCTGGCTGACGTATGGCTAGCGGATGGACTCCACGTCAATGAAGTCGCGGCAACATCCAGGCGCACGTGCATGAGCTCGTAGCCTGCTTGGCCGTGCTGCATCATCGTGATGCGTGCACAGCCTTCGCGAAGCTGTCGAACCTACTCAAGACCGTGCGGATCATGCCGTCGACGTGAACAAGGCGCAGCGGACGTACGAACGCGCGGTGGGCAGCAGGCTCGTCTTCCTCCCTGAAATGCATGCCTCGAAAATCGGTCATGGTGCTTTACTTCCTGTGCTGCCGCGGCGCGACATCGCGTCGACCTACGTGCTGGAAGCGAGGGAGGACATCAGCGGACGCAGTAGGCCCTTCCTAGCTCGTACGTTGTGTTAGGAATGCCAGCGTGCGGTACGTACGTTGGTTGGCGGTGGTAGTTGTTGTCTCAAGAGGGCCCGGAGGCATCCCGCAGCGGATCTGCACAGCTGCAGCGGCATCGCAGTGCGTGTTTTGAGTTTGTGTGCTGTTTATGGACGGGACCGCGCAGTCGGTTTCATCTGCTCTCCCATGTACCCAGCAATGTCATTTGAGCGTTGGTTTCACGGCTCCCGAGCGAATTGCTGCTGCAGCCGCAGTACCAGGCACTCGACTGACGCCTGCATGTCTCCCACACGGGCACTCATGGGTCCCCCGTGCGCATGTACCCCACACGCGGCCCTGCGGTAGTCGGCGGCGACTGAAGACGATGCCCCCATCGTCTGTGACCTCGTCTCAAGCACGTTTGAAACGGCGCCCCCCGTCACCTTTGCCGTCACATGATGCCATCCTTGCGGATGGCCTCCCACCACGCATGATGCTGATGCCCCGCAACCACCACGGGGTTTCGCGCTTGTGCGAGTTCGGAGATCCCGTCGTGTGCGATGAGTGAACGACTGCACCACTTGGCATGCTGACAATTCCACATTGTTTCGTCGGTGGCTTTTTTGACTTCGACAACGGAAGCTTTTTTGTCCATGGTCAAATATTCTTTCGCCAAACACCCCACCCATCAAAGTCCATTGGGGACATGGTCCGGTCAAAATGTATTTGAACTTCGTATGCGGTCAAAATAGCATCGCAAACCTTGCCACACCATGCGGTTCGGCGACTTTAATACGAAATGGGAGGTCTCTGATTGGTTGATTGGAGACACTGTCCATTTCAAACATGGAAATTCACGCACCGTTCCACTGGAACAAGACATGTACACCTTCGTCCAAGTCGCGCCTTGCTGGTGGGACGGTAGAGATGTTACCCGATGAATCCATCGATTGTACTCAATTTTCTCCCGTGGCGGTGGAAGGTCACACAGCCTGGCGCAGTCGCGTCATGCTGGTAAGCGCGCCGACAGCACCCAGCGAGATAGGTGGGTGGGGGTATTCATGATTCGCAATACCCCTCCGTGTGCCAACCCCACAGCGGGTCAGTTCATTTTCAATTCTTGTGCCATGGCCAAGTTCCTCGCCTTCGTTGCCCTCGCCGCCGCATCCGCCGTCGCCCGATTACAAATCGTCAACGGTACGGAAGCCCCCGTCGGCAAATACACGTACGTGACGGGCATCCGCGAGACCGAGACCGGTCGGACCATCTGCGGCGCGTCCTTGATTGCCCCCAAGGTGCTCCTCACCGCCGCCCGCTGCGCCGGCGAATGGGCCAACTACGCGTCGGTCGGGTCGCACTACACGAGCGGTAGCACGGACGGCGAGCGCATTAAGATTGTCAAGAAAACGCTGCACCCCAAGTACAGTGAATTCTCGGACGAATACGACATTGCCATATTTGAATTGGAATCCGAATCCAAGGTCCCCCCCGTCGCGCTAAACTGGGTCGAAGACGACGCGACGGCCCCCGGCACCGTGGCGTGGGTGCGTGGCTTTGGCGAGACCACCAAAACATCGAGTGAGGGGCAATCTCCGTACCTCTTGGAAACCGACGTCAAAATCTGGACCAACGAAGACTGCCACAAGGTCATGATTTTCGAAATCTTCCCGTTCCAGGTGTGCGCTGGTGGCGACGGAAAAGGCTTTGCCACCAACGACGTTGGTGGACCGTTGACCGTCATCCGCAACGGTGTCGAATACGTCGCGGGTGTGGCCGTCTGGGGACATCGCGGTAGCTGGGCGCGACTGCCCGGCGTGTACATGCGGGTATCGTCTTTCCGCGACTTCATTGAACCGTTCTTGCCTGTTACCCCCACCACTACCAAGCCTGCTTGCTGAGCAGCGTGTCAAACAAGTAAGCAGTACGACATGCCCAAGAGATATCTGTAGAGCTCTCGATTGTCGTTTTGGTTGCATCATAATTGAGGTCATTGCCATGAAGACAAAGTGTTCATCGGGGTCAGTCCACTGGTGCATGGATTCTAGTCGGAGCTGATATTGCTCACCCAGGTCTCGCCCGAGGTGTGTGAGACATCGCGAAACGAGTTGTGGAGCGCGAAGGTCATGGGGGATGACCTCACAAATGGAATTCCATGGGGCGCAACTTCAGTGGTCGGGTGCTGTCACCAACAGCAGCGACAGGTACAAGATGTAAGCGTGAAGGTTACAAAGTGGTTTGGATGGAGTTATCGAGCGAGGAGGCGTCGCGCCAAGAGACGTCGAGGATCTACGAATTCAAAGGTTCGAAGCCAAGGCTTGGATGGATGGTGTAGAGTCGATTTGGACGACATAGATGGCCATCTTCGTCACACACGTCGATTTTTCATGCAGCAAGTG